AGTCTTTAGCCATCTTCAAGAAACGACTAAAAACACATCTGTTCCACCTTTATTTGACCCTCTAACTCTAGCACTTTCTATTCTATTTTAATTCTACTTTATCTACATTTATCTTCTTCTTATTTTATAAAAAAAAACATTATTCATATTTTTCTATTCTATTTTTTCTATTCTATCTACTTGTTTTTCTTTGTGTGTGTGTGTGTGTATGTGTATATGTGTGTGTGTTTATGTGTGTGTATAATATATATAATAACCGAGACTTGTCATTTGCACTTATATATTGTTCCTATTTTACATGTAAATGTAAAATATAAAAACTATAGATAAATATTGACCCTGCCATTTTTTTGATAAATCAGTAAATAAAGAAGTTATTAATTCTTTTTATTAATCATTTACCCTTGTTTCCTCTTCAAAATTATGTCTGCAAAAGTAAAAGTAGGTTAGAAATCACTCAAAAAGCATGCTCATACTTTTCTGATAACTAAGATACTTGCACACCTGTGTTCATTATGATTATGAAAGGCTTGATAAATGATGCAAACATATACACGCTTACACACACACACCAAGCTTCTGTTGGTCCTTTGTTATATGATAGTGTGTAGTTAAATCTGACATGCACAGACGATGAATATCCATATGGCTAATTATAACAGCGTGTGTGTGTGTGCGCGTGTGTGGCATTGTACAGAAGAACAATAGCTCTCTCCCCAGCATCCCTCACTCCACTACGGCTACTAATTAAGGGCCTGATGGTGTCTTGAGCCCCGCATTAATCTGGCTTACCACCCATCCTGACACTCTATCAATATTCTAACACTGTCTTCATCTCTTGTGTGAATTAGATTTAAGAAAGAAAGTTAAAAGTGCTTGAAATAATATACTAGGCATGTGATGGTTTCAAATCTTCATGTTGCGATAATTGCTGAAGCTTTTATCGTGGTATATTATCACGATATTGAAATAAGTTGCAAAAAAAAATTTTGTTATACTATTACAGGTATAATAACTTTTTTTTCTTATAACAAAACGAACTATACATTTTTGTGCATCGCTTTATTGTATATAAATGTTCAAAGTAAACAAATATTTCAAACAGTTTAAAGTGCAAAAGAATTATAAAGTGCAATAGGTTTACAATAAGGTCTAATGCATTAACTAACATTATCAATGAGAAATAGCTACATTTGTTACAGAGGTTATCTGTTAATGTTACAGAAGAATGTTAACGATAACAATATCATGCATGTTCATTATTGTGTTATATCATATTACTGTATATTGGCACATGTCTATAAAATACTTAATATTCAAGAATGATTTCTGAAGGATCATGTGACACTGAAGACTGGAGTAATGATGCTGAAAATTCATGCATCACAGGAATAAATTACATTTAAATTCAAATGTGTTACTTTAAACTGTAATAATATTTCACAATATTATTTTGACTGTATTTTTCATCAAATAAATGCAGCCCGGGTGTGCATAAAAAACATTTTTAAAAATCCTAATAAGTAGTGTAAATGCCTTATGCTCTCTTTCCTTAGTGGGCTGTTCTGTGAGACACCTCCACCAATGATATTACTCCAGAAGACAAGTCCATGTGATCAGTCTTACTGTCAGAATGGAGCGCAGTGTCTGGTCGTGGAGGGAGAGCCTGTGTGCCGGTGTCCACCTGGCTCCAAGTGTCACAAAATGGTCACAGTGCACTTCCTTGGCAAAGATACCTATCTGGAGCTCTCAGGTGTCAAGATCCGACCACCCATGCACATATCCCTCCAGGTATGCCTGTAACCACTTCCTGTAATGCTTAACAAATGGTCCCAGATCAGTTTCTTTAATATAGACTTCACATATCACTAGCCTCAGGACAGTCTGCGTATCACCCGAACTCACATCTGCAGCCATGAGAAGCGATCTGCCTCTCTGTCTAGGTGTTTTTTCATCAGCAGTGCATGGTCTAAGCCAGCTTTGGCCTCTCTGACATTGAGAATGTCACCTCTTGTCCACCTGCGTGAATAATTCTTCTCCTGAGGACATATATTATGGTAATAGAGATTGAGCCGGCTGTTATCCGTTGCAATCGGGCCCTGCGTAACCGCTAGATCTGCTACAAATGATCCTATCTTCTCACCGTCGAGAGGGCACACTAATGTTAATTAAAGTAGGAGAAATTAAAAAGAGCTCAGTAGCTGTTTATCTCCTTGCGGACGTCAGCATCTCTCCGTTTCGGCTTCTCTTAGCACATCTGCAGATCGAGAGGCCTTTGTGTGTTAAGTAATGGTGCTTTCTAAACCAAGTCAGAGTTTTTGGCAAGAAGAAAACATGGACATTGAGGTTTTAAAATGAAACCGTGCATCTCTATGATCAATGAAGTTCAAACTGCAGTGTTACATGCTTGTTTATTCAAAAACTGGATTTTGTTTTTTTTTTCATTCATCAGATGTCTAAAATTCACAGGCCTTCCAGATAAGTGATGTCAAATTTCAGGAATTTTTCTAGATGTTTTAAAATGAATACATTCATTCATTTACATTAAAGCTGCAAAATGTGTGAAAGGGTCCAAATACCATGTCCATAAAGTCTACTCTTTTTAGCATTAAAAATTATCTTTAAAATGTTAAATTAGTACAGATGTAAGTTTTTGTCCAGTAAAACGTAATTGTTAAATATTTTAGACATTTACTTTTTACATTAAATCAAATTTAAGAGAATGACATTTCATCATTGCACTTCACGTGAAATAGTTCTGAATATTTTACAGCTTTCGCTCTGTTCGTGTTAACAGGCCCTAAAAGGCAAAACGCTTGGGAACTGCAAATATAGAAAAGCAATCAAATTAGGTTGCTTTTTTTATTTCCAGCGTTCTTAGCAAAACTGTGCTAAACAGTGTTAATGACTTGGTCCTCCTGTGACATATCCACTGACATAAATGGAATACAGGGACACATTAACTGCTCACATGCCTCCAGGATATGAATGTTAGCAGTCCTCTTGGTCTCAACTGATGTGTAGAGAGGTTTCCACGCTCCATAAGCCATCAACTGCTCTTTTCTCTTCTCTCGTCCTAGTGCTTATATATAAACGTGAGCTGTTTTCCATCACAGCTTGCTCGCAGACGTTCCGTTTGATGCCCTCGACTAAACAGGGAGTTAAGTGTCAGGCCTGCGGTGGTTCTGTCTCGGTGTGCATGTCGCATTGAAATAGTGTGCTTATCGCGCACTCTTGATTGTTTTGTACATCGTTTTACCCTTCCACCTCAATCCTCAGTCTTTCTGCCATTCTCCTTCACTGATCTTTTGCTGTCTCGTTCCCATTACCCTCCTCTCTGTCTTTGTAGGTAGCCACAGATAAGGACAATGGCATTCTGTTTTATAAGGAGGACCATGACCCACTCGCCCTAGAGCTGTACCAGGGACACATACGTTTGATCTATGATGTTGCCAAGTACCCCCCAACCACAGTGTACAGGTGAGGATAGAGAGCATACACACACATACTCTGTAGGTAGTATTTTAAGGAAACGTACACTCTCATAAAAAAATTTGCAAAAATGTTACCTTTAGAAGCACAACACCTGTAGAGGCAGTACTCTCAAAGGGGCATATTTGTACTAAGGGTGTGCAATTTTGAGGATTTTTTCGATAATGATAATTAAACAATATTTTGCTTAGTGTGTTTTTATGCTGTTACCTTGGCTGGTTTAGGCCTGTCTTGGATAAATAAATCCGTCAGTAGGTGTGATTCAGTGATTCATTGAATCATTCCTTCAAACGATTCATTCAAAATGGCTGATTCATTTAGAAAAGAAGCAGGTGGCTGTCTTTATGAATAGATTATTGAATCACTCAAATTATTCATTCAAAACAACTGATTCAAGCTACTGTCTTTAATGAATAGATCATTGAATCAATAGGTGTTCAAAACCAGATTCTTTCAGGAACAAAACAGCACAGTGTTTCTTTGAGACGTGCAAATGTTTAGCTTAACTCTGTTTGAAACTATTTTCATTGGCAAAACAGAAAAAAAACCAGAAAATATTGTGTCTAAAATGTAACTCACTCAATATTAACTGTTGTAAAAAATTTATATCACACTCATGATCACCCTCATACACTAATATTCCAGAAAACGGCACTCTTGCTTGTGTGATATTACATAAACATATCTTATAAATATAAAAAAACAAAACCCCATACTGAGATATTTTTTGCTTTCATAACGTGAATTATAGAGGCATTTTAACTGCTTTCTAATACACAGTGAATGCTTTTGGACTTTTTTTGCATGTACTCATACATACTCTATAATGTCAGCTTGCATATTGTTTAAACAACAATTACGATATTATCACAGATGATAAATATTGCATACCCCTACTTTGTGCCTTACTTACCCCTAAAAGGTTCATAGTAGTGCTTTAGGTAATACTCTAAGGTACTAATATGCACCTTTTAGGGGTAGGTAAGAGTTGTCCCTTTAAGGGTACTGCCCCAGTGACAAGTTGTTGTATAGGGTAATTAAAAGATGGGCTTTTAATAAAACTTGGCTGTCTATCAGTAGAAAGGCAATTTTTTAATCAATGCTTCATGAGCAAACAGAGAAAAGGGGCTGTGGTGTTGCCTTTTGCCAAAAAGGTAGGAAAATGCCCATAATGCACTGGGCTCGATCCGACTGTCCATGAGTGGGAATTTAAAAATGCAGAAGTAGAATCTGTTTTCACAAAAGCTCTGGAGTTTTCAGATTTTTTACATCATATTTAACGTCAGTCAATGGCCTTTTGTTTACAAATAAATGTAAACAATATATCTCAATGCAGGTAACACGGAATAAGAGTACACATTGTTCATTTACGTATATACCAAAATTGTAACAATACAAAGGTAAGGTACTTCTTTTTGAAAATCCTAAGCAGCATTGTATGTATCCTCAGCAGAAAATGCAATCCCAGAATGCAGTATCCCAAACTCCAAGATGGTGGATGCCTTGGTGGGAAAGTTGATTAAATTTGGCTTTAATTAAATGCTGAAATGTATGATAAAAATAGTTTAATATACTTTTAAAATTGTCATTTAACCTATATTTGTGTATGCTATGCATATTTATGTTTAATAGAGGATTGCATTGTTATCTTAGCAACATGTTAACACCAGAATCAGTCGCAGGTCTCCAGTGCATCTCACATGAGGAATGTTATTTGTGGCTGCCTATGTAGAACATTCCAAATTAGCCACTTAAGAGGTTCCATTTTAGTTACGATGCTCTCTTAGAAGCCAGCTGCCTCTTTAGCTCACTAGGTTTTGTAACAGACCCACAAACACAATCACACTTCTGTTCTACACAGTAAACAAACCCATACAGCAAGAAGTTTCTGCTGCACCATAATCTAAATAGACATATACCACCCTAAATTATTTCAAAACATCAAACATACACACTCATTCATCTTCCATAAAAAAGGACTGCGTTTCAAAGGAGGCCCCCTGCTCTCGTCCAGAATAGTTTGGGGTAAAAAAGGCGTGTTTGCAGGCAAGTTTTCTCTCCGTTCTCAGGGAGGTTCAATCCCTGTAAGCTCGTGGCACATCATAAAACCATATAGGAGCCCGGATTTACATGACCTGCTTGAATCTGCCTCAGGTGAGAGCTTGCTTCTCTCGCCCGGTTCCCATGTGAAAGCTTCTGTGCTGCAGCGCCATGATTTCTATGCTCACTGGAGCCCCCATAAACAGAGCTCTTAGCCCTCACCTCCTGCCCTTTCAGCAGACAACAGGCTTGTTGAGTCTGGCGCAGATGGTGCCTGACTCTGGCCTGGTGGATCATTGTGGATGTCATTAAGCTAGCACAGGCTCTGTAACGCGTTTCCAGATTCAAGCTTTTAAATCCAGTCTGCACACAAACCTAATGACAGCGTACAGTTTCAAAGCATTTCTAGATAGAAATCTGTGTCCTTGTCTAGCTGTGTCTGTTAAGAATGGGTATGTGGCCCCGGCATCTTTTTCATCTACATCTGCAGAAGTAGAGCGTGAACGTTTGTGACCGGCAGCTGTTTTAGCAGGCAGTAGACGTGAACAGTGGTGAGCTGGGTGCTCAGGCCCTGCCTGCCTGCTTGATGACTCTGTATTGATCCAGTGCCTCCCGTTGCTGCTGCAGGGGGCCACTCTTCCCTTCCGCCTGCAGCAAGGGCTGAATCGATTGCTCTATGAGGGAGTCTCAGCATGAAAAATATCATTTCAACCAGATTCCTTGTCTTTGCGGACTGAGAATACATGCACTTAATTCAGGTGTTTTTAGTAATAGTTGCAAACATGCATTTAAAGCACTTGCTCAGTTTTTCAGGAGAAGATAGAAGGAATAGACTGTTGTTTCAAGGCAAGATGGTTTACTTGGCAGTCATCTTGGAATACCCCTGGCAGCTACTTTCTATGTAGGCAAACGAGATACAAGTACAGCTTCGATCTACTTGAATGGGGAAAAACCAAAATATCCAATGGCATCAATTTAGCTAAACCCCTGCTAAGAGTTGTATTTTTCAGGCTGGTCCAGGCAGAATGAGCACTATCTATGAGCACCACAGCTTAATGTGATATAGCACATATAGGTTAGGGCTCAGCTGTGTGCTTGAACAGTTAAATTAACATGCAGTGGTGTGACTGAATGAAGTCAAGTTTGTTGCCAGGTCCCTACTAAGTCCAAGATGCATCATGGCACCCACAGTTAATCATAGATCCATGCTCATCCTCATCTTGTTTTTTCCCCAAGCGACATTGTGCTGTGTGGCTTTGGCATATCTGCACCCCATTGTCTTGGGGTAAAGAATGAGGGTCACATGTGAAGAGAGGAAGTGCAAGGAGAGAAAATGTCCTTCCGTCTCAATTTAGCTTATTTGGACATGGCACTGCATGGCACACCCCAGTCTGGCAAACATGCTCCCGAGTTCTCCATGTCATAGTTAGTCCTAACAATGTGTAACCAGAGCCAAGAGAGCCAGCTGCTCAATTTGCAACCCATCCTACGCCGCAATGCTTGGACATGGGTGCAGCGTTCGGGCAGCTCCCTTGCTTTGGTTTTCCCACCATGGAAGCTAGCGGTTTGAGGCTGTGGTTGGAGCATTCCTGAGCCGAGTCTGGTTCAGTGGCTCTCTGCGGGTGCTTCACTTCAAATGTGGAACTGGGTCATAAAGACTCTGTGGGGCGAAGATCAGAGGAGGAAACTTGCAAGATTCCCACACCATCTACAGATTCCACTCAGCTCTTCTTACACCTTGTCCCTGCTGAACTTCAGCAAGAGACGAGATCCCTGACAGGAAAAACAAGGAATGATGATGAAGAAAATTGAAATGGTGAGAGGGAAAGGGAGGCTCTGGGCGGCGGGAAAGAAGACAGATCGGACCACAGAGAGATGAAGAGTGACTGAGAGCCGACAAAGAGTTAAGGACACTCATCTCTGTAATGTGATCCTGCCTTGACGGAAGGTGCGGGTGAGGGGAGGGATGGAGAGACTGATATATGCACTGGGGAGGAGGAGAGCGACGGAGGCTGTTAACTAGCAGTAATGCCTCATTACCATGAGATGAATGCTTGGGCCCATGCAGCGTGTTAATGTGCTGCCCTTTACTAAATGTCACGCTAATCTGTGTATTAGTTTAAGCAGCGGTGTGGGCAGTTCCTCAGCAAAAGCGGCGGTTTGTGGAAACATTGCAGGAAATTGAATGAGAATGTTAGAATTGCAGCGTTCCTTGCCCCCAGCTCCTCAGCGTGGGCTCGCCATCCTGCGCCACACCTTACCACAGCTCTCCAAATGCAGCTAATGTTTGGCATGTCAACTGGGCTTAACACTGAGCAATGCTAGGGTGAACAAGGAGGGTCAGGGTATGTTTTTACGGCCTGTTTTTGTTTCGCCCGAGATTAGCACTAAGTTCCTGTGTGAGCAGAATGTTTGAATGGGGGGAAAGTAGTGGTAATTCAGCCTGAACCGTGACTGGACCTGGAGTAAGTTCCTCGGGTTGGAGAAGACCAAATGGATGTGGTGTTCTAAGACCAGCTTGGCTAAGTGCGACAGCGCTAATGCAAGGCTAAGGGGTGCTAATGCTAACTGTCCACTAGCAAAGTTTTAGTGTTCTTACATTTACCTGTTAGCTATAGCATTAGCATACATCATTATTTACGTTTACACATTTGGCATTTACACTTTTATCTGAAGACTTATATTGGATTAATGTACACCGTTTATCAGTTCTTGCTTTCCTCAAGAATCAAACACATATCCTTAACTTTACTAGCACTGTGCTCTAATGTTTGTGCTTCAGGAAGGCTACATAATCTCATCCCAAGGATGAGGACCTTGTTCCTTGCTACTTACAAGTGTTTTGATGTTAGCTGTTAACTCCAGTCCATCTGTAGAGCACAGCCCCATGATATCTCAAACGCTACAAAACCTTGTTTAGCAATTCATGTTCCAGAAGGGCATAATTGACTTCACAGCTGCAGTCCGTTACTCTTAGCTAGTGTAAGGAAATTGAATCTGGAAAATGTAAATATGTCTACAGGTTTGCTGATCTAGATAACTCTCCAAGATGAAGGAGCCGGTAATAGTTCCTAACTTTGTGTATGTGTCATTTATAATGCAGTTCGTTCGAGGAATAACAGAGTATTTTATTTTCAGCTGACAGGAAATTGACTTCCCCTCGTGCGAGAGGGGTGACATGAGGTTGCTGAAATCTTCCACGGGTTTCTGTTTGTTTTTATTGAGCTCCATAATGGGTTGCTTGAAGCTAATATGCAGGCTAGCCGCACATCAAAGACACTCCACCTTCTCAACCCCCCATTCTAAAAATATTACAGCCTCAGGATATTTTCTGTCTGTCAGAATATGAACAAAAGGCCAATAGTTGCAAGCGCTAGGCTACATCTTGAGGAGTTGATCTCTGGTGCCCCCTAGTGGTGCTAGAGCTTCACTGCATACATTCAAGAACATTTTGTCAGTTCCAAATGATTACTTCTGTCCCCCATGGTGAGATTTATGTTCTGATTAAGAATGTTTTCATTCTCATAATAGAATCTTCCTCTTTGTTCCATCACATTCCCACTCTCACCACCTTTTCCACTAAATACTCTTACCATTTCCTTCCCAGCCGGCATGTAGGCCCTCAGACGGACTTAATGAAAGATGGCTGTCAAAACCAGAGACAGTGGATTAAAATGTCCTTATATTATAATGAAGCCGTTCATCTATGGTGGTACTGATGTATCAAATGGACGGGCTTGAGATGTTTGGTGGGGGTCTCAGCCCGTGGACTGTAGTGTTTGTTGCAAAAGCCTATTTTGAAACAGGAATTGAATTATGGGCCTATAATGCAAACCACACGTGTGCCTGTGTTGGGTCTTTGTTCAGTCAAGACCTCCGTGAACCATACCCCCCTATATCTGGGGCCACTGATCTCTATCCGCACCTATGGCCTCAGCATTTCAGCAATGGAAAATAGCATTGCGAGCCAGCACAAATACTAGCAGCCTGCCCGCAAAAATGAATTCATTTTAATACTAGCCTGTTTGTTTGCTTAAGTCAAGTCAAGTCAAGTCACCTTTATTTATATAGCGCTTTTAACAATACAGATTGTGTCAAAGCAACTGAACAGCATTAATTAGGAAAATAGTGTCAATAATGCAAAATGACAATAGTAAACACAAATTTTTCAGTTAAAGACAGTTCATCATTGAATTCAGTGATGTCAACATCCAGCTCAGTTTAAATAGTATCTTTGCAATCAAGTCAACGGTATCGCTGGAAATGAAGTGTCCCCAACTAAGCAAGCCAGAGGCGACAGCGGCAAGGAACCAAAACTCCATCGGTGACAGAATGGAGAAAAAACCTTGGGAGAATGGGCTTTCTGTAGCCTGAGCAGACTGCTCTCTCTCATGGTTCAGAGGCTACTGATAAGTTCATAACCCTAAATCTCACCTTTAAAAAAATTACAGTCCTAGAAGTCAGCAGAATCTGGGCCAAACAGCGTGCTACATGCACTGTATTGTAATAAACTAAGGAGGAAACAGGCGAAAATCCAACTGTGCTGGTCAGAGCACACTCTCATAGTCTAGGAAATGTTTCATGGAGGTTTCATGGAACCGGGGAACAAACGGCACTCTTCAATGGTTAAAAAATGACCGTGTGAAAGAGAATCGCTCTCAGGAGTTCACACAGTCACAGTGCCAAACTCAGCAGGATGTGATTTGAGTGTGTTCTAACTCAAAGAAAGAGTGAACTCATGGCCAACACAAGCTCTCCTTTTCCCACAACATAAGCTTTCGCCGTGTCAGCCAAATTCACTGGAAATACACCTGACGGAGCCTAATGTGGAAACCATGGCATTTTCAGACAGCGGGGAGATATTCTGTATTGCACATTCAGGCTTTTCATTTGGACTTAAAATGTTACTTTCAAAAGTTCAATTACCCCAGTGGTGACATGATAAGTTTAGTGTCATTAAGTTATAAGAAATATTTCTTAAAGGTTTTTTTGTTACAGTGAAGACTGGAGTAATGATGCTGAAAATTCAGCTTTGCATCACAGGAATAAATTACATTTTTAAATCTATTCAAAGTTATTTGACATTGTAAAAATATTTTACTAAATGTACTGTATTTTGATCAGATAAATGCAGTCTTAATGATCAAAAGAGACTTCTTTCATTAAACAAAACATTAAACATATCTTACGACCCCAAGCTTGATTTTTCTCATATTTAATCTCAATTGTGCTCTTGACTGGCACAGCCTCCTTGGAAAAAATAATTAAACATGCATGCATAAATAAATAAATAAATTTCACATAATACATATTGAAATGGTTTATTTAAAACTTAGTTCAGATAATTATAATTTTAAAATACGGCAAATGTATATTTTTTTATCTTCTGCTTTCTTGCAGTGTGGAGTCAGTGAATGATGGTCTTTTCCACACGGTGGAGGTGTTGATCCAGAATCAGACCCTAAGTTTGGTGGTGGATAAAGGGGCACCGAAAAGCCTGGGCAAACTCCCCCGCCCTCCTGCTGTGGACCACAACACACAGCTCTACATAGGCGGTAAGAGTCAAAAACACCTCATTGTTCATCACAACCATATTTCAAAGGTTTCAAAGTATTAAATATGGCTTGTTTTAACATACTTTCAAAGTGTTTGAATGCATAATGACTGTAACGTTAGCCTTAGCAGTCCACGTGTGCTAATATTTGCCTGTTTTTTGTATTTTAGGTGTGCCCTCTCTGATTGACACAGCAGGCCTGCGACCGGATCCAGACCGTCCACTCCAGTCCTTTAATGGCTGCATTCATGACGTACGGCTCAACGGGGAACTCCAAGACCTCGGCAGTGGAGTGGCAGGGGTAGAGGGCATTCTGCCGGGCTGTCACTCCTGCAGCGTTTGTGCTCACGGGGCCTGCAGACAGAGAGGAGAGGCAGGCGTGACCTGCGAGTGTCCCACCGGCCACAGCGGCCCACTGTGTGAAGAGACCACCTCCCAGAGCCCCTGTCAGAACAGCAGGTACATAAACCTGCACGTACACAGACACTCACAGTTGTGCTTGTATCAGGTGGTAATTTCCTCCCTCTCTGTTCCTGTGCAGGTGTGTGCATGGTGTGTGTGTGCTGAAGGGCTCCTCGTACAGCTGCTCATGTGCAGATGGATACTCTGGCCAGTTTTGTGACAGGCGGCAAGAGTCCGCCGTCTGCAAGGGGCTGCACTGCATACACGGAGAGTGCAGGGTGACGGAGAGCGGAGAGCCGTTTTGCCACTGCCAGCCTGGATACAGCGGGCCGACCTGTGAAATAGGTGAGACACAGCCCTGCAGAAGACTTGCATTATTCAGAAAACTCTTTAATTACATATAGAACATAAAAACTATATATATATCCTCCTGACAACCAGGAAAAAACAGTTTTGTGAATTTAGTATTTTGTCATGTCATTCATTACATTGTTTAGAGCATAAGAACATTTTTGAAAAATAAAATGTTTGAAAAATTATATTTGATTCATATGTTATGCCATGTCCTCTGTAGAGGACATCGGGACTTAAAGGGGTCATATGATGCAATTTCAAGTTTTCCTTTCTCTTTGGAGTGTTACAAGCTGATTGTGCATAGATAAGATCCCTGAAGTTGCAAAGGCAAGGCAAGGCAAGGCAAGTTTATTTATATAGCACATTTCATACACAATGGTAATTCAAAGTGCTTTACATAAAAGAAAAGAAAAAAAAATAATCACAACAATAAAACAAGGAATTTAAGAACTTTGAAAATGATAAAAAAAAATGTATTTAAGAGGTTTAAAATGAATTTAAAACGGTTAAGAATAGAAAACGATTATACATAAAATATATGACTTTTTCTTTTGCTGATGTAACCAAACTTTAATGGGTGGGGAAGAATAATACAATGACATCTCAATAGTATCTCAATAATATTTTGATACTGGTAATAATATCTAATTTCAATAGAGTGCAACAATAATAACCAGTCACGTTTTCAGCTCTCTTTCATTTTCTCCATAATATCTGATTTCAAAAAATAAAAACACTATGTTGTATATTTATTGAAAAATAAATAAATAAGCATCGCATGTACAATACCATTCAAAATGTATATATTTTTTAAAATAAATTAATACTTTTATTCAGCAAGAATGCATTAATTGCATTACGCAGACTTTTACATTGTTACGAAATCAATTATATTCATTAAAAAAGCCTTAAAAACATGTATCAAATGTTTCACAAAAAACAATAAGCAGCACAACTGTTTTCAACATAATTAATGATAATAAGAAGAAATGTTTCTTGAGCAGCAAATATATTGCATATTAGAATATTAGAAAGATTTCTGAATGATCGCGTGACACTAAAGACGCTGAAAATTCAGCTTTGATTACAGAAATAAATTACATTTTCAAATATAAAAATTTAAATTGTAATAACATTTCACAATATTACAAGATTATCAAAATATTATTATATTATTCATATTTACTGTATTCTGAGCAAATAAATTCAATCTTCAATCAGACTTTGAATAACTAAATGTTGACAGTAGTGTACCTTTGATTAATAACCTCAGAGCTCATAGCAGATCTGTTATTAAAAATCAATTTCTTCGTGTCGAAAATGAATGCGACTGCTTCACGTTATTTCATGATCTAATCAAATCCTGATGAATAAAATACTTTATTTCCTGCAAAATTATCTGTTTCCACTCAAAACTATGTTGCATTATAGCAGTTAAATGCATTGCATATGCTGTTTCATGTAGTCTTTAACTTGCCATACGGAATCCAGAAGAGTGAAGCAACACAAGTCAATATCTGACCTGAAAGTCCTTATGTTTATTAATCTATTACATAAATGCTATATCTGATGGCCTGTCCTCCGTCCCCTCCTCCACACAGAGCCGACGTGCCAAGGAGAGATGGTCCGTGAGCTGCTCAAGCGTAATATGGGTCATAAAAACTGCACCTCCACCAATAAAATCGCTCGGTGTCCAAGCACCTGCCGCTCGGGCCTGTGCTGCGCCCCCACCAAGAGCCGGAGACGGAAGGTCAGCTTCAAGTGCTCCGACGGATCCTCCTTTTCTGAGGAGATGGAGACCACCGTGGAGTGCAGCTGCACAAAGTGCCCATTGTAATATTGTGCCCCCCCGTCCCAAACCTGGAGAAGAAGATGGAGTGGAAAAGAAAATATATTGTAAAAATAGAACTTATTTTTATTAAGGGATGTTTTTTTAAAGAAAGAGACTGTTTTTATGATGTTGCTTATATGTGTCATATGAAAAGTAATTCTGTATCGTCGAACAAAAACACGCAGATTAACATTCCTGAAAATATATGAATTATATAAATATGTATAAATCTATATAAATGTACAACCTAACCTAAGAATTAATTTTTGGTCTGTGTATTGCATGTCTGTTGTGAAGTGTGTGAGCGGAGAGAAATTTTAATGGAGGAGCTGAAATGTGCCCGTGTAGCCGATCAGGCAAGGACTCTCTAACACAGGAAGTGGTGAGCCAACTTCCTGTGCTCTGGTGGCGGCAAATTAATGAACTGCTTCCTAACGGACCTCACCTGCAAGACTTCAAGGACAGAGCTTCGAGTGGGATGGGCTGATATTTTGTACTTTGGATGTTGTTTCTTTCGGCGTGGCTCTGGTTTACAAGCTGCAACTCATCGGAGGGAATTTTTTGCATGACTGCATGGAAGAGTTAAATGTGAACTTGTAACATGCTGCGGTCAGACAGTAAAGCTATTGTAGTAACTATGATAGTTAAACGCTCTCTGCCTGTTTTACCTTGTACAGTTGAAATCCAAATGCGTCGGCAGGTGATACAGGTGACTGCGTCTCTGGTGCAAAGCACTTCATACCGACGTAGTATTCGAGGGAATTTTTTGCATGACTGCATGGAAGAGTTAAATGTGAACTTGTAACATGCTGCGGTCAGACAGTAAAGCTATTGTAGTAACTATGATAGTTAAACGCTCTCTGCCTGTTTTACCTTGTACAGTTGAAATCCAAATGCGTCGGCAGGTGATACAGGTGACTGCGTCTCTGGTGCAAAGCACTTCATACCGACGTAGTATTCCGTCATAACCGTCCTTTACTAAAATATTAAATGCAAATATATTTCACCCATTACTACTGTATTGTTTCATATGTACCCTTTTTTGTTTTTAATTTTTCAGATGTAACACTCAGTGTCTTACTCAAAGAGAGCGAGGACTATAGATATATTCCCAAGAAAAAGCTAATCAGTGTTAATGAACATTCCTCCTCGTTCTGTCTCACCCCTGTTCACCACATACTGTTGTATAAGGTACAAGCGGATGTAGGAATCACCAGTAAACGATGTAACTGAGCTTGTGCAGGAAGTGTCTTGTTAGCACCTCTAATCAGAAGACTGGTTGCATTTTCTAATGTTTTGTTAAATATGAATTAGAGAGTGATGATTAACTTACAGTGAATGTTGAATTAAACTTGTAATGAAATACACAGTTGGGTTTTTTGTGATTTTTTTTTTTTCAATAAGGTCTTTTTTTTTTTTCTTGTAATTTTATAAATCACACAGAATGGAGTGTATTGAAAATCTGAAATAGCACAGAGTTTCCTGTGAGGGGTAGGTTTAGGGGTAGGGTTGGTGTAGGGCAATAGAATATACGGTCTGTACAGTATAAAAACCATTACGCCTATGGGATGTCCCCACTTTTCACAAAAACAAACCTGTGTGTGTGTGTGTAAGCTTATTTGATAAGGCCACTTTGTTTTTGTAAATTTGCCAAACATAATATTCATATGCAACTCAAACCAGCATCCAGAACAGCAAAATCAAGAGACATGTTGTCAATCTTTGGTCTTTTAAAGGCCACAGTTCGTCATAACTGTTTGTTGGTCAAATTAAAGGTAATGTGTGTACTTTTTTCTGTTAAAATGACTTTTTCCCTGTTCTATGTCAGAGATAATGCTGGTTTACTTCTTTAGAGTAGCCTAAATGCTGTGGATCTTTCAAAATATTTAATTCAATTATATATTTCAGATCACCAATTATGAACAACAATTATGTGTATACTGTATATTTGTTCTTATATCCAGTGATAATATAAGAATTATATATTGTATTTATGGAGGCTCAATTCTGACCTGAAATCAGCCCAATGATAGAAAAATGATGGCATGAGTGTATTTAGGAGTTTTGTCCACTAGATGGAGGTAAATACCAGTCTGAATGTCTCTCGCAGGCATCGAGGGGGTCAGGGCCTGGATAGAATTGATCATTTTGGTTAAGATTAGGAGGATTTCTCCTTCACTAATCAGGACACAAAGGAAAACTCTTACTACAGCCTTGCTCTTGACCCACAATAGGCAGTTTGTTCTGTAGGGCCGTTTTATTTCCAATTAGTCTGAGAACTCTGAGATGTTTTGTTGAATTTTGATATGTTTTTCCCGTACTGTGTAGACCACAGAACCCGTGTGACCTGTTGTCTTTGAATAACTGGATCCTGATTCTTTTTCCCTTAAGGGTGCACTCAGTAAGTTTTTGTTTTTGCTCACTCTTCTTTGCCCCAGTTGTTCTTAATGCATGATATGGATACATTACGTTTCAGATCTCATACTACACATTATTATGCAACAGTTAGTAGCCTACCATTTCTTGAATCTGGTCTGAGCAGTCGTAATAGCCTACTCTTATTTCTGCAATTAAAGAAATGGCAGAAATAGTAAGAATACCTTGCTATGCTATTCTGAATTCAGCTATACAGTCCAAAAGCACTGGGTTCGAGACAGACTCTCAGTCTGTGCTTTAGTGGAGGGGATTTTTCAAAATGGTCCTCACTGCAGGACACAAGATCCAGGGGGCGTGGTTGGATCCAGATCCAACTCCTCCCACCTTACATATACCTAAACCTATCCGTCTCCACCCCCTGATTCCTAAACCCACCCATCTTCACCCCTAAACTTACCCATCTCCCAGAGGTCCACCCCTAAACATACCAATCTCCACCCCCTGATTCCTAAACCCACCCATCTCCCAGAGCTCCACCCCTAAACTTACTCATCTCCCAGAGCTCCACCCCTAAACCTACCAATCTCCACCCCCTGATTCCTAAACCCACCCATCTCCCAGAGCTCCACCCCTAAACCTACCAATCTCCACCCCCTGATTCCTAAACCCACCCATCTCCCAGAGCTCCACCCCTAAACTTACTCATCTCCCAGAGCTCCACCCCTAAACCTACCAATCTCCACCCCCTGATTCCTAAACCCACCCATCTCCCAGAGCTCCACCCCTAAACTCACCAATATCCACCCCCTAGAGGTGGATCCAATCACGCCCCCTGGATCTTGTGTTCTGCAATGAGGGGCTACTGGATTTTTCAGCGAGCCTTTCTGCAGGTTACATCATTATGCCAGTAGGTGGCGACAAGCGACTCTCTTTATGAGTCATTGAGCCGTTCAGTGGATTCGTTCACAACACTGATTCATTCAGTAACGAAGTGGCTGGCTGCATCTGAATATGCACACAACTATATATTTATTTTCTATGGTTCTATCCCTTATAGCACACGTACATCACGGAAACGTCTATTTGACGTCTGCATTTACATCTGCAAGACGTATTTTTTAGCTCGGGTTCGGGTTCGTACCAGGCAATCGAACCAACTGTGAAAGCACCCTAAAAACGTGATGGGTGAAACGGAGCTTTTCGAAACTCCGAATCCATTAAGCCATTTCATCACAAAATGATTCACGGTTTCGAAGCGCTCCAAATGGATCGAGTGTCGCGAATCATTTGATTCGTATCGGGACTTCGGGGTGCGTATCGCGAATCATTACATCGGAACTTCGCATATCGCAAATCTTTTGATTCAGATCTGGTCTTCTTGAATCGCGAATCTTTTTCTGATTTTTTTTATTTTATTAAACAGTACAAAACATCAAACTATTAAGCTAGTACAGTTATAAAGAAAGAAAGAAAGAAAGAAAGAAATCCCTTTAGAAAATTAACCATGGTTTTATTATAGTAAAATTGTCGCAACCATGTTTTGTTTTGTTTTTTGATGTTTATTTCTACAAATTATTGTAGCAAAACGATGGTTAATTTGTGGTTAGCTACTATGGTTTAACTTTAGCATTTTTTTTACTTTAGAGGACACATAGCCTACTGTAGAATGAATATAGAGATGCAGTTTTCACTGCTTTGGGATTAACAGAACTTCGGATAGTTTACATGTACGTGTCTAGATCAACTTTGAATAAAGAAAAGAGAGGTTTAGAGCCAGATTGTTGTTTATGTATGTGAAATTTAGATAGCAGGAAACACAAATTATAGTTGAAGTTATATTTTCCTATATTGTCTTTCGAGGAGTCAAACAATAGGCTACAAAGAAAACATCTTTAAAACAGAAAGCAAAGTCACTTACAAAATGAGGTGAACATTAAAAAAAATTGGAACAGAATTTCTCTGTGTGGGTACATAATTTTAATCATTTTAATTTAAACAATTAAATGTCTGTTGTCTGCCGTTATGTCCAAACCAGTGCTAAAATCAAACAAACCCATGCGCATTCCAGAATCTTGCCGGAAAAAATAAGTCAACAGGGAACATTTTGTCTATTGTTTTATAAATACTGTGAAACATACTACTTCACAGGTATTTTTTATATATATATATTTTTCGTACTATATAGCACACAGATTTGGTCAAAAACTTGATTTATTTAATAGAGCAACTTTATGTAGTTTTTTTTTTTTTTGGCGCTTTGGAGCCCCCTACAGTTACGAGAGTGGAATTCACTGTCCTAAATATTCATTCCGTGGGTGACTGTACACGTGCATTTGTTGACAATCTAAATGCTTTCAAAAGCCAGGAAGAACAATGTCGACTGATAAGGTGAGATATAAAAACCACTGCAATAACAGGAATGACAGAAACCTTTACTTTAGCTGAAATAACGCTAATGTATGCATTTGTGTGCCAAGCTTTTGTACGTGTAATGGCGACACGATTGATCACACTGCACATAATATACATTTGACAGACTACTACAAGCTAGAAACAGAATGCGCTTTATTAGAAGTCAGTGTACAATCAGAATGATTTTGAACTGATAAAAAATAATAAAACTGACGTTTTGGGGTTCAGTCCAAACATATTAATTTATACTGTATTGCTTGTTTGGACTTTTTATTTTTCTGTTCATTATTATTTGATTATGCAACCTGCTTTTTATACGCCACTTGGCTTGAGTCTTTGTAAAATGTGAGTAGGCTATAGCCTATTGTACATAATTGTACAATTAATTTCTCAAATGTACCATTCATTTATTTATCTATAAAACATTTTAATAATTAAATAAATTGAGTGCAGCTTTAGAGACCCCATGATATGCTTTGTTCGTATTGATTCTTTATTTTATTTTTTTTAATAGTCAGTACCTTTAGTTATGTCCCTGATAGCACACGTACATCACGGAGACGTTTATTTGACGTCTCCATTTAAATCTGCAAGACGTATTTTTTAGATTGTTTGATCATCTGCATCTATAGGACGTTTCCTATCAGATGTCAAATAGACGTTTAGAAGACATATTTAAGATGTTTATGATTTAGAATGTATGTAAAACTGACATCTTAAAGACGTCTGTCAGATGTTTGTACACAGCAGATGCTTTCCGGATGAAGTGATCTTTAACAGACATCTTGCAGATGTACGTGTGCTATCTGGGTAAAGTAAAAATACATTTTAAAGGGGTCATATGATGCTGCTAAAAAGAACATTATTTGGTGTATTTGGTGTAATGAAATGTGTT